CATAGCTGCTCTTCCTTGATGCAACCCAAGCCATGCTGTAAAACTCCTAAGTTGTTAAGTGATCGAGTAATGTAACTGTGAACATTAGCAGATGTGCACACTGTGCATAATAAAAAGGATAACATAACCTCTCTATTTACAGAATTTCTCAATTTCCACAATATAAAAAATTAAAATCAATATTTATTCCCAACAATTTTACTACTTCACTGTGCCCAATAGAATGGAAGTAAACATAGACAAAATAAGAAATATTTATACTTCCGGAAATAAGTTGGACTCGGCTGGGCTGCTGTATCATTAACGATAAGGAACTGCGGAAGTATTTTTAAAATTTAATTACTCCGATGTAAATCTGGGACGACTATAGCAAACGACGTTTCCGCTGGATATTCGATGACATGCGCAACAGTTTCGCGGTATCTACATTGCGTACATCTCTGGATCTCTAGAAACCACGACAATGAAAGCGAATTTATCTTTATCGACAAAGTTTGACATGCGCCTATACAACGGAACGATTATTATTACCATCGAAGCAAGCGTTTCCTAGCGTTATACAATTCGAATAAATTTTTCCGATGTACTTGTAAAATACAATAACAACTAAGTACGCAGATAAATTATAAGCCCAACTTTCATGTTATAGTTTCTAATGCCGCAATATATTTTATACAATGAACATATGGTTAACATCGATTTACATACACAGAACCATTGCGTGTCCGCAAAATGTTCGCGTTATTTGGTTTAGCGTTCCTCCTATATTTTTCTTTTAATTGTTTCACCGCTCTCCGGTGTATACAGTGCGGAACGATTTATCTCGAGTTTTGAACACTAAGCATAATTAATAGCTTCATTTAATTAGGGGCGCGTTGCAAATTTAGGAAACAATAAATTTTTTAAAGTGACATTAAATAACACTAATATTTTAAAAATTCCTAAATAATAAACTTTTCCGTACGGCAAAGATTTGCAAAAACATTAATATTGATTTTTTAGAGGAATTAAAAAGTGCGATAATATATAGGTCGTTCCATTTAAAATACGCAAGCTGACATCAATTTCCGTTATAACCATAAGGGTTGCCATTTTTTAATTATTTTATGCAAACGGGACCCATCAAATTTTGTAGCTTTTCCATAACACATCGACGAAAGGGGACAACCTGTACATACTTTGAAACTTCACCTCATATATACCAGAAACATCACGTACGATCGAGCCTGAATAGGAAAACACTTTTAATAGTTACCTTCCTATCTCTCTAAGTAACCTATATTTGCAAAATTGTTTTGGGTTCATATTTTGTGCGGTACGTATATTAGTCAAACGTCAAGACTGACAAATTAAATTCAAATATATAACTTTATTTAATTCATTTGCGAAGTCAAAAAATTGGCCGTACTGATATAGTGTTAAAATTGTTTTTATTTGTTTTTGCTTCAATGCGTAATTCTAAATTAAATGCCATTGTAATTGGTAGTCATATCACATTATATTAGCGTTAACATTACACGCGAGCCAATTATACAAAATAACGTTGTTGGGTATTTAAAACAGAGTAACGCTCTGTTAGAGCGATATCTTTTCACATTGGCAATAGCCGATCTAGATCGGGCCATCCTAAATGCCACTCCCAAGCCACAAAATGGCCTTAAGTTGCGGATTTATATACGTTTAACATTACCCGAATTATAATGCGTCCCGTACACTCCAAAAACACAAGAAACTCTCAGTCTTTCTCTGATTCCTCCGACGGTTTTTAGCTATATATGATGGGACTCATTATAAATCGAAGATAGCCTATCTACCTGTTTATTTTTTATTGGTTTATCTCTCTCTGTCTCCTCGAAACAATTGACTTCTCCGTCTCCATTCTACAGCATCGGAGTTACAGCGGCGTACGAAAAAAAAACGTCGGTCGCCATATTGTATTTGGGGTAGTGTTATACAGCCCAATTTAAACAACAAGCGATTGAAAAACTATTTAAAGGAAATCTCCAAACTGTTTAAGGCAGCTTCGGTGTGTTTAACATTACCTACTGCTTTTATAATTCAATTCTTTGTTTATAACTTTCTAAGTTTTACTTTTAATAAATGTAGACGTTTCGACAGTTTGGGAATTTTCAAAATAATTTTTCCCCAACCTGTTCCCGATAGCTAAAAATTTCTCCAAGATAAGTAAAAAGAATTCCTTGAAATAGCACGCCCATGGTTACAGTGGTAAACAAGCGGGTCACCAGCGTCCATTTCGGTTCGGATTTTTTTGTGGCTGTGTATCTTAACCCTTTAGTTTTTAGAAAGGTACAGTCTCGGGTAAAATTTTTTAAACGCGCTGACGTATAAACACTCAGTACAGGTGTTAATGTACTCGGGTTTGTTTGATTTTTCCTTGACGTACAATATTGATTTATTTGACGAATATGTTTTTGTTTAATTTTCTACACGTTTGCGGTTAAGTTCCCGAAATATTGTAATTAAATTAGCAACCGGCGTAGTTAATCGCAATGTGCGTTTATTTCGGGTTTCTCTTCTTGTCTATCGTCGAAATCTCCTTAAATTATTTCAACATTCCGAGAAAAGTTTGTTTTGATAATACCGCGAGGAAATAGTTTGGGAGCTTCTGAAAATTAAAAAAAACTGCTATTCCAACTTGAAGGGATTTGGATTGTATAGTTTCGAATTTCGCGTTTTAAGCGGCTTTAACGCAGCGGAATTTGATTTTGCAGATGAGATATCAACGAGACGGTAGAACAGTAACCCTTCGAGCATTAGTTTATTTGTCGTCGATTTACAAGGCAAATATTCAATAAACTCTGTTGGATATCGGCCATCCATAATCAATGAATGAAAAGTATCACCCAGTTGCAACAAAGATCCGAACCAATTGTCTGGTCGCTTATGTGCTGCTATTCAGAATGCTTAGGATGGCTCGAGGCAAGTCTGGGATTATTATACTTTTACTTCTTATTGTTCTATTTTCAATCGGCTTGTTTTGATCTTATTGTTGCTACGGCATTACTATACTTTTAGCAGCGTCCGTGACCCGATCAAGCTCAAAAGTGACCATCGGGACGAATTTTGCCACTTATCTGGCGCCAGGTCTATCACGTATCAAGTGACAAGTTGTTTATAAAGTTAATTACCATAAGTTTTAACTTGAGGATTAAACTTTGTTACTATATGCATTAATTTTCTTGGTGTAAATAGATAAGTAAAGTCCATATTAGCGTGCTTGTGACAGTGTGCGATAAAGAGTGCAAAATACGTTATTGATAATGAACGCCATATTTTTGAAAATAATTAATTAATATGTAAGATTGTAGCGGTCACTAACGAAGTAAAAGGTGATTTCTTGCGCCGATAGATTCATTATTTATTAAAATCGAAGTCACCGTAAACAATTCGCCAATTAACGGTTACGAAATAAAACCAAAACGAGGTGCTTAAAATATTAAATTGCAACGCGTTCGTCGAAATCGATCGCAAAAAAACTGTAAACAATCATTAGGCGAGAATGACTTTTATAAATTATGAAGGCTGGCCGTTCGATATCGACGAAATCGGTAGAAATTTCCGGTTCGTCAGTAATTTTACCACAGTACTTAAAAAACGTTTTCTTTTCTTAATAAAACTTGGGCGGTTAAGATAAGTATTAGCAAGTGCACACTTCAACTTGGTAAAATTTTAGTATGATGATAGTGGTACAAAACAATGCAGAAATTTTGACAAATCGGCTTCTAACGCAAAATAATAGGCTATGACATCACATGGTTTGTCTAACTAAACAATATTGGCGATAAAAATAAATCGAAAGTTCGCTATTGTTCCCTGCATGTCCATAAGTCAAAGAAATCAAGGACAAACCGAAATTTCGGATTTACCCAGCGTCGAGCGTATAATTCCTTGCCGATAAATCCGTAAAATTCGCAACATCGGCGAAATCATACAGGTGAAACTGTCTCTATCTCTGTTGGATCCGATCCCCGCCGTCACCTCTCCGATGTATCGTCTTCCCCGATAGCCGGGCAGCCATGATTTCGAGATGCTGTGCTGCCCTCACGGCGAACAGTCCGAAGTTGGTCGCGGGCGGACAAACCTTACGAGACCCGGGCCGAAGACTCGAAGTTCCTTCGAGCCTTTTCAGGGCCGCACTTGCTCAATTACTTACGCACGTTTTACGTCACATTATTCACAGTTCCATATTCATATTTACCTTATCCGAATCTTATTTTAGATTTTTGTTTGCTCATTGGCACATCTACCACGCCCAATTACCACTTTATGCAGTTTTAGAAAATAAAAAGAGAAGTCTCTAGGCTAATATTTGTCTAATAAATGTGAACAGATTTACAGCACGTTTTTTAAAGATCGTTCGAAATCAGCAAAATAGATTTAAATTTGCTCGTAAATATGCAAAGTCCAGTCAAAATCAAAATACTGAATAGCTTTTCATGAATTTAACGGCGCTGGTAAATTATGCTACGCGAATTAAAAAAAAAACAATTTTAGTAAATTGTTAAAATCTCCATAATGACGTCCGGTTCTTCTAATTATTTTATGTTATTTTTTTAAAATGCCTTCGTATATTTGCTTGTATTCCGGACGGAGACATCGACAGGAGACGAGAACGGTAACCCGATCGGCGTCGGTTGAAATTTTTAATATTTGTCGCATCGTCCACGAGTGAAAATAATGAAGAGTCGCGTTTTTTTTTCTAACTAGTTACAGTAAATCGTACTACCGTCGGTCGAGACTTGAAAACGACGAAAATCCGTTTGTTTATTGTTTACGTCGGGTCGGTCGGATGCTGAACACGGCTCTGAATGCGACGAGAGGTTTTCGGAATCAATCAAAGACGGGCGCACCTGCGCCTCTCTCTCGTCGAAGCGTGTCACATTCGTAGAACGCGAAACCGCAGAACGTGCGCACGCTGCTTCATACCAGCGAATCGCTTTGAGCTGCCGCAACTAACATTCAGTAGAGTATTAGTTCGAAACACCTGTAGACGCTAGTATGTGATTGAATATAGAACCCTGGCCAATATATTGGTAGATGTTGTCAGAGGTAGTAGTGAGCATGAACGTCTCGCCGTCGGGGCAGTGAGTCCGTGTCGTGTAGTGCCGACCCCGTCACAATGCCACCCCTGCCCTTGTGACCGTCCAGGCCGAACAAAGGGATTCATTCGTACACAAGTCGACGGCAGACGTAGGTAATTCGATACGTATATCTACGCATGTTCCCGACGCTCTCTCGCCTCCTTAATCGTCCCGTTTCAGTTTTAGCCTTACGAAAAACCGTCATTTTTATTCGTCACCGTGGCGGGCACTAACGACTTAACAAACGATTCACCGTCACACACCGCACCGGCCCGACGTATATACCTAACTCCTCGTACCTAGTAGTTTTCAATATTGAATGATTACAATACTACCTGTTATTCCGGAGCTGACAGACCTGTTCATCAACTATTGCTTACACTTAAAATCTTGAATGGCGACTCGGCTTGTTTACCTGTTGCCGAGGAAACAGACGCTTTGCACTTGCTCTAAAAGCGGTTACCCAGCCGGCAGCCTCACCTCCTCCCGGCTAGATCGGCGCTACTTCTTGTCTATCGACCCCATAACTATAATATCGCGATTTTAATTGAACGGCGCCGTTTGACCTTGTCGACGGCGGTACGACCCTGCTTATGCAAATAATTTCGATCGGTTTTGTCGTTGGCGATTCTATAGAATATATAATTATGATATATTCGACTGTCCAATCCGGTCGATATGGTCGATCGTCGGCCAATCCCGGCCGAGTGGCGACACTTGAATTTTAAATTCGAAACGTCAAGCTACGCCGCTGCGTCATCGCCGCTAATCATGCCGACTTCCATATTGTTTCTCAAAACCGCCGCAGCCACCGGATGGATCCTTATTTTTTCGGACTTGTGGCAGTTTATTTTTTAATACCACTGATTATCGAATGGATATTCAATTAATATAAAAATTCAATTAATCTCCGAAGTCGACGTGTCAAAAATTATTATTTATAAAATGTTACACGTGTTTGGTCCACACGGGCATCATACAAAGACGTAAACTCAAACGTAAACGCACACGGACACAAATAAGAAATAATATTATTAAGAAATATAAAAAATCGCCTTGCAGGCAGTTTATATCATTAAAAATTAATGTCGGCTCATAATCAAAAATCCAGGATAGGATTCATTTTGGCGTTGGTGATTTCTAATTTCCCTAGCAGCCCAAGTTTTTTTCTTTTTGGGCACTCATGTAAGGCAATTGCATTTTTATTTGCAGAAAAATTATGCCCCGTGGGCAATAAATGAGTAGCGAAGGCAGATTTGGTCCTGTCACCTCAGGGTCTTTGTACTTTTTCACCAAACTGAGATGTTCGTGAACACTGATGGAGAACTGTCTGCCAGACTGTCCGATATTAATACCAGAGTTCAAAGAATATCGCGATCTAGAAAAATAATCTAGATGCTTAACTTTTATTATAAATTGCTTTTTAATGTACCTATAGATAAATTCCTGCTTTTGAAAAATATTACTGAAATCGGCAATTTTTCATAATCCAAATATTTCGTATTTCGGAAAATCAAACGGATACTCATTCCAATTTGTGATTGTGCGTTTGAGTTGACATCTTTTACGTAAGTATTCTTAATTTATATTTGATACTTTGTTATTTAAAAAATACTTTTGTAAGTTTGATCATGCCCGTGTGGCAGAAAAACTAACTAACATTTATAAATTATAATTTTTAGACATCGAGTTCGGAACTTAATTGAATCCTTATAGTTTAGTGAAATTAGGATTTTGAGAATATTCACAATCCATAGCTTCTCAAAAAATAATTTCACAATACAATATTTTTGAATTTATTATTATTATATTTTTGTGTACTATTAAATTGTAACCTATATATAGACGTTTCCTTCTCTATCTATGAGTTGGTCAATTTAAAATAAAACTAAATTTTGATGACGTCATGGCGGCAAATTGAACAACAGATTTTTTTTGTTTGCTTGGTCAAAATGTTTATTTTATTTTTCTTTATCTTGCCAAGTAATTCTATAAAAATAGCTGGAGAATAAATCTTAAAGTCTACTACACTTTAATAATTAATAATTTTAATTAATTTAATTAAATTTTCATCATTTAATTTAGTTAAAGTAAATTATATTTCGCCTTTGTAACAATATAATACTATCAAAGTATTTCCATATCCACGAGTGAAAATAATAATATGTCAGCGTTAATAATAACTAATAATTAATTAATAACAGGTTTAAATATTGTCAAGTGTAAATACAATATTATCACAATTTCTGAGAATATAATTTGGATTATAATTTTTTTCTGCATAAAGGTTGTGCTTTTAAATTTCAAAACCAAGTGACAGATTTAATTTTGTGAAGGGGAAAAGTCGAGTTTGGTTAGTTTATTTACCAAATTGCATATTTCACTTGGCTTTCATGATTTCTTTTAATTGCTTGTGGCTTTTACATTTCTCGCTTGTAATAATATATAACATTCGCAAATATTTGACATTGCTTATAAATCGTTAATTAATTCATTTATTCCACAAATAGCTACAAATTGTAAGTAAAATCAATGCAAAATACGAAAGGGTTACGTTCACCACGGGAAAGTTTTGTATTTGTTGATATACCGGGTGTTCCAAATACGGCAAATTTCCGGGATTCGAAACACCATAAAAAAACATGACAAATTCTTATATTTTGTTTTACCCTGTGATAATGAGAACATTAATTAAAACAGTGCTTTCTTGGAGAAATTAACTATACAGGGTGTTGAAAGATTTTGATGTACTTGTTAGTCCAGCTTTAGTAAACTAAACTAGCTCAGCATGGTTCCTACTCGTGGTCGTCATTTTTATTAAATTTTGTCCAGTACTTTATAAGTTGTTCAAGAAAAACGTAGGAAAGGCCTGCAGGAAGAAACAGTTATGTGAACTTTTCATGTTATTTTCTCCTGTTGCATTTGAATTCCACTAGTTTTTCATATTTTGCTGGGCACACTATACGTTGTGCTTTGTAGCAAATGTGCAAAAGAGTATAAACTAAGTTAAACTCTGAAGAACGGCCAGCCAATCAACATTTAAATGCAAACCACCCTCTCGTGGGGCGGACGCCGGACCCTTCTCGTCTACTAACTTCTCGTTAGTTTTTTGACTCCCGATCCTGCGTGCCTTCGATAGAACCTGTTCCAGTCCGGCACGTGATGGTGCCGGTTTGCTACCGTTGATTGTCGGTTTCTTAAGCACCACGGGACCTCCTTTTGCAACCCCGTGAACGTGCACGACTCGTCGAACCGGCCCCCGACACTCACTCGCAACTGGATCCTCTTCACTTTTTTTTTCTACAACAAAGATAATAGAGAGAGTAGCTCCTTAAACCGGCACCGGTAGTAAAGATGAATTGTTCGTAGTAATCCGCATCGCAGCATCAGTTTATGACCTATAATATCTTGTGCCCTCTCAGAATTGTAGTAACCTGTTAATTTTTTTACGACAATTTTCTAAATGACTTTTTAACTATATTTCGGTTGTGACGGCCGTTTTTTCTTCACGTTTCATTGCTTCATTCAAAATACAAACTACGATTTTTCTGAAATCCTATTTGAAAACGTTGTTTGTTTACCGCGTTTTGTTTACCACTTTTAGCTAATGCTTTTTCAAGCAAAGCAAGCAATGAAAAAACTTTTTTGACTTTAAATTGAAAAATTCAATTATTCTTTCATATACTGAGGTCAAATACAGTTAAAAAATTATTTTAATTTACAAAATAAGTGACATGTTTTGACCATAATGGCCTCATCAGACCAATTCAAATATAAAACAAATCACAAACACGACTGATACTGTAGTTTCTTGTTTCACCTCTCTTTTAACGAACCAAATATTCAGTTTAATATTTGTTTTCTTCATTGAACTTTGCAACAGAAACTAGACATAAACAGCGACAGATTTTTCATTTTCATCCGTCATTTCTGATTTTGCTATAAATAATATTTCAAAATAGATGTAATTTTCGAACTGTTAATTTTTACTTTACCAGTTCAGGCAATACAATTTTAAAAAATACTCCGTTAAAAAGTTTTGAGCAAGTATATTGCAAATGGGTATTAGCGAACTACATAGCTGGTACTGAAATGATAAATCGAAAAATGCATCAATCCTCTCAGATACTGACGTTGAATGTAGGTGCAACAAGAAACTCACGAAACAGGTTACATGGATCATCGTTTCTCGTTTTACTTATCTTAACTTCCACAGAATACTACTACAAATCTTCTGGATTCCTTCTGTATCGGTTGTTGGTAAATCGAACTTGCTGACGTTTCGCCACTCATCCTGTTGGCTTCTTCAGAGAACTGGCGAATCATCACCAAGTTTGATTTATCAATAATCGACGCTGAAGGAATCCAGAAGGTTTGTAAATAGTATATTTTAACGATGTTTGGGTCACAATTTGTTTTTTCGTTATTCAATTCCACTAAAAATGTTGAAATCCTCAAACCATTACCATTGTTAGCAGGGCAATAAAAGAAAATTTTGAATTTAGCTGCAGTACAAATGGAGTTTTAGAAATAACAAATCTGATCCATGTTGGTAGAAAAGTCGACAATTTCTGAGTATTTGTTCTGTTTTTATTTTTTATGTTTTATTTCTTCTGTTAAAGATCCAGAAATGGTTGTCGGCTAAATCTGATTTTGCTATTTTTAATTTTCAGATATACCACGCCCGTCTACCCCTCAAGAACACTTAAAGCCATCGCTGTGCCATAAAATCGAACTATTTCAATACGTAATCAGTGCAATAAACGCGTCAAGTAGTGACCTCTGTGATATAAACTTGCCATAATGACCCGCCGTAATATCGATAACGCTTCGGCAAACTCGTCCCCCGTAGGAGAGGAAAACGGGATGACGTCACCACCACCCCCGCAGGCATCGCCTGCGGAAAGGTCCCCAATGAGGGTGGCGTCCGATTCGCCTACATTGTTGGCAACTATGACGCCGGTAAACGTAATGGACCTCAAGAAAGAAATGGAGGAAGAAAGTGCCATGGGGAGAACTCCCGTATACACTCAGGTCAAAACCGAAGTACTTTACGATAAAGAAGAGGAACTGTATGCTCAAGGTATTCCAGATAAGAACGATACCCCCATAGATTTAATTTACGAAGACGGCAACAAAACAGTTATTTACACAACGACGCCCGACCAGAAGGGGTTGGAGATTTACTCGGCGGACAATTCGGGCGAAATAACGATAAACAATATCAGTACGCATCAAATTCACGGCCAGCAAATCGCAGACGTATTGATAGACGGTAATTCGGGTACCATGGTGAGTTCCAGCGGAGAAACGGTCGGTGGGTCGCCGGGGACGGTATCGGTAGTACTGCAAGGTAGCGGGCAGGGGTTGCTTCAGTACCCACAGGCTCAGGTGCCCGGAACCACCGTTCTCGTATTATCCGAACTGGTGGACGACGTCGGGGTGCCGGTCGTCGGTCTTAGCAGGTAAGACTCAACTTACCACCGATGTTTCCTAATCGAATGGCGAACTTAATGAGCCGTTGAGTTTTTGATACATCTTCCACAACATCTTGGTAATTTTGCCGGTTATTTGGGCAATGGACAAAATTTTCAATAAAAGTCCCCCAAAGCACTTTTACTGTTTTGATATACTCATTATGGTTGCCTTTTTCACTTCATACAGGCGCACCAGCAGACTACAGTTCTTGTCTGCTATTAATTAGTCCTTAGGCTCGTATCTGATAATGAAAAATGTTACATTAACTCGAATACTATCTCAGTTTTTTTTTATTTCATAATTCTACTGTTTTGATATACTATTATCGTTGCCTTGTTCACTTCATAGAAGTTCATACAGTTCTTGTCTGATATTAATTAGTCCTTACACTCGTATGTGATAGTGAAAAATGTTACATTAACTCGAATAATATCTAAGTTTTTTTTAATTATGTTTTATTTAAAATTTGTAGTATTTAATTAAAACAATTAAATGTTGCTTTTATTCCACACAAAAAGCAGGAGTATATACAATGGACAAAATTTTCAATAAAAGTCCCACAAGGCAATTTTACTGTTTTGATATACTCATTATCGTTGCCCTGTTCACTTCATAGAAGTGAATTAGCAGACTATATAATTATTTATATTAATTTATAATTATAATATTAATAATTTTTATATTAATTAGTCCTTATACTCGTATGTGATAATGAAAAATGTTACATTAACTCGAATACTATCTCAGTTTTTTTAAATTTTGTTTTATTTAAAATTTATAGTATTTAATTAAAACAATTAAATGTTGCTTTTATTCCACACTAAAAGCAGCAGTAAATACGCCAATGGACAAAATTGTCAATAAAAGTTCCACAAGGCAATTTTACTGTTTTGATATACTCATTATCGTTGCCTTTTTCACTTCATAGAGGTGCACCAGCAGATTACAGTTCTTGTATGATATTAATTAGTCCTTATACTCGTATCTGATAATGAAAAACGTTACCTCAACTCGGATACTATCTCAGATTTGTATTTTTTATTCGTTTTATTAAAAATTTATAGTGTTTAGATGAAACAATGAAATGTTGTTTTCATTCGACATTAAAAGCAGCAGTAAGTACCACAATATACCAAGAAAATGCATAAGTATACAGGGCGTCCCAATAGTGTGCCGCCGGTTGATATTTTTTGATATTTAACCGTTGGCTATAGACAGAAATTAAATTAACGGTTATACCTAAACCTAAAATTATTTTAATGTATATATGATGTTCCATAAGTGCATAAGTAACAAAGTTGTGTTTTTTCTTATGAAAGCCATATATTACTTCATATTTGAGTTCTATTAATCCTGTCATTTTGCAAAAAAATTATACAAGTTTTTCTATGACTTTTGTCACATAAACATTTAATGCTCATGTATTTTTATGTCGTGATTTTTCTAACATTAATTTTTTTCTTGCTATTTGTTATATATTTGCTTATGTGAGGTAAATAATACACGTATATTGTTGTTTAAATGGCAGATACTATAATTTTATGCAGACTTCAAATAATCAAAAGTCAAAGGCAGAAATAAGCCTATTTATTTAATTTAAATGAAATGTTTATTTCACGAACTACTTTTTAAGTCAAAGTGGAAAATTGTTGTATTTAACACTATATTTTATACTGTATTAAATACTTGTAGTCTATGGAAATTGAAATTGAAATTATTGAAAACATTGATCGTGTCAATCAAATTTTGCTTATAAAAATCATGTTTATAATTGTTTAAACTCACTACTTTTGGATTGTCACAGCTTTAAGTTGTAACTAAGTGTAAGTGTATTTTGCTTTGGACACAATATTAAATAATTAATTGTTAAACAACTATATTTCTTCTAAAAATTTCAAAAATAGTATATACGTCTTCCTAAAAGTAAGCATTTTATTCTATTAAATTTCTATTAAAATTACCTACATACCTAAAAAAAAAGTAAATATCTTGGGAACAATGACAGATAAGTGTACTTATTTATAATGCACTGAAGCATTTGATGTTAGCACGGGTGTGCAATAAAAAAAAGGTAATTCCATTTTAAAAAATTGAGGTATAATGTTTTAAAATAAAAAAAAACATCAAAATGGCAAGTAATTAAATAACTATTACGTTTAAGCATAACATATGTTTTTCACAATGTATTTAGAATTAATTAATAAAAAGAAATATAACACTTACACATTTTTGGAACGTCCTTTATGCAAGAACATAATTTTAGGCTATACATCTCATGTACCCGTGCAACATTCTATTTAACGAATATACATTGCCGACTATGTATATATAGTTAGCTAGAGATCGGTGGAAAGCTTTTACGGTTAAATCATTGCATATATTTTAACAACCGAATAGTTTCTAATTGTTGTTTATCTTCGGCACATTTATCGGGAACGGTTAGGCGCGATAAATTTTCAAAAATAATGGTCCAACTTTGATTCCAACGTCACACGGCATAATAAAACGTACAACCAAGTACGTATTTAGCGTCGGTTAAACGAATGGCACATCCTAACCGCGAGATCCTAAAATGTTAACACTATCGGCGTTCATTCCATCGAGGAGAATATTCTCTCATCTCGTCGTAATAAAAGAGGCAACACTGTACCACGGTTGGCCCATACAAAAATTCCAAGGTCAGATATTATAGACTATGGCTATCCCCCGTTGGCTATATCGAAGCTTTTAAACGGACCCACACTACGACCAAATGTTAATTATAGTTAATATCGGTTGAGGTTTTTTTTCGTTGTGTCAATTTTTCTTTTCTACGCATCCCGGTAGCTTTAAAAAATGAAATTTGAGAATTCGCGGGAATGTCCGTTCCCGGAACGCTATATGTTTAAAATTATTTTTATGCTTTCTTACGAGCATCCCAAATAGAATAAGATGGATATCCGCGTACCATACAAAAGTTGGCCTGTTAACTATCGACGAAGGAACCATTAATTTCATCCATCTATGTCTTGTCTTGAAATTCTTAAAAAACATCTGGTGTTGTCTCCATTGAAAATTAGCCGGGCCTGGTTGTCATTCTTTAATTAGCTTTTGGGGTGAAATTTATTGATATGTTTTTGTGTCGCGCCGTTTTCTGTTTGCTTTGTCTTTAATGGGATGGTATTATCTCTCGTCGGGCGACATTTTAGCGGAGGTGGGACGTTAGGTTCGTTTTTGACACTTTTATAAAGGGGATTTTGATTTTATAACTTTCGCAGCGAATATTATCCGTTCCCAATATGCAATCGCAAGCGGCCATTGTTAACATTTATCCGCCACTTATTGTTGTACCAGTTGCCGATAAATAACTCACCGATTTTAATTACAAGAACACTGGAAATTATTACGAATTACCGGTGCCGGTAATAACGGAGAATTTATAGTGCAGACGTTTAAAAAATACTCAGTGCTATTGATCCACTTATCAATAGCGTAAAACGTTGTTTATAAATCGTAAATATTGCCAAACGTAAAAGGCTAAACGTATCTCTTTCTGTCGCGTTTACTCATTTTTTTTAAGATTGCATTTTTGACGAATCTAAAAACGTAGCTTTCATATCATATGCCCCTCCTTAAATTTTGTTTTGTTTTTTGCGAAATTCACGACCACGTTCTACCTGGTCGTTTTGTCCGTTGACCCTTGAATTTCTTCTCGGTTCTTTACACCCAATCGACATTTCGCTTTATTTTTGTAATTATTGTCAGACCGGAAATAAGTTGCGCAAATAAAAATGACGACTTTTAATTCTTTTTCGGAGTGCGCAAATAAATCATACGGTATGTTGTTCCCTTGCGTGTTTTACCTCTGTTACAATTAACTACTACTACTGTAAAATAAAAAGGAAATAAGTGAAATTATAAAGCAAACTAAAAGAGATCGGGTATAAGCTAGTTGGCTTAATAAATAAAGTTTATATTATATAGAACACCGCATTATTACCTAATAAATCAATAATTCCAATGAATACATTTCTGCATACGAATAAAGTGCAAAAGGAAAGTTAATTGCCAATTAGGCAGTGTATAAGAACAGAAAAATAAAATGATTTTCCATTTCTTATATCGACCGTATAAGTACACTCCACTAATAAATGGTTCATCGGAAATTAATCGCATTACCATTCCTTGATTATCGCATTTTCAACTTTTTTAGGCGTCTAGAATCCCGAGATATGTCTCCACCCTTTTTTCATGAATAATCGCCTCGAGATTTCTCTACATGGGTTTTTGAGAAACTTAATTAGAAAACTTTACAATTATTTTTGATTTATTTCCACGTTTTATTTACGTGTTTTTAATTGAACGGCCATATTTTTCAAATAATAAACTTCAATTTTGTCGACGGAAAAGAAAAATGCATCGCGATAAAGTGTTTAAAATATCGTATTTCCGAGGAATGTTTCCATTCGCATTTAGATGAGTCCATTACCATATATACGTGATGTCATCTTAAAAAATAGTATTACCAAAAGCCTCTATTTTACATTTCCGAATAACAGATCACGAAGTTCCGCATAATCTTTTGAATTAAATTAAACGAAAACCGTTTTAATCCGGAGTTATTTTTTTAATGCGATGCCCCCTCTGGAGGCAAATGTCTATATTTTATTTTTAAATTTAATTTTTGAAAAGAAAAATTATTCGGAAATATTTCAAAGCGAGCGTGTCGTGGTGCACCTGAAGTTTTAGGTTATTAAACGAACGGAAAGTCCATCGATTACCTTGAACATACTGTGTAAAACTAAAATAACAGTGTTCTTAAAAGTAACTCGACTCTTGGGATGTTAAACAGAGTTCACAACCACATATTAAAGATTCTTCATGATTGGAGTTGGGATAGCTCAAGGGCAGACATACCAAAAATGGTATGGTTATTTTTCATTAACATCGTGACTGAAGGTATGCCAATGTTTTCGTGATGTATAATACCGGCAAGTTTGCTTAGTAC